ACCGACCCGGAGCGGTGGTCGACAAAAGCAATTTGAAGTGTTTTCAAAGTAATATTAAGGCACGGGTTGAGTGGGCTACCATTTCTCTCTCTATTTTTTTTTTAGTTTAAAAAAATATCGTTTCAGGGCTGTGACGAAAAATAAGTGGCCTAAATCCGATGAGAAAACAGGATTTGGGGGTACCCTAGGTTTGGCTCCTTGCACGAGTTGGCCCCCCCCAAAACGCAAGTCTGGATCCGCCAGTGCATTGTTCTAATGTCAAAACCAGACAGGTCAGTGTCTGTTGAGCACTGTTTTTATATCAGAGTAAAGTGATCTTGTTTTTATACGTAAAACACCTGATAATAAGAGCAGGGGCTATAAGAATAAGAATAAGAATCGGCTCTACTCTGGAGCCGATTCATAAACAGTCGGCTTATTTGAATGTGGATGTCAAAATGGACACGGTGAACATGTGTGATGTGTATTACTATTCATCCCTAATATTTTATTCCGCCAACGCCAAGAGATTGGGAACATGTCGAGTTTCTTACATGAAACATGGTGCTGCGCATTTAGAAACTGCGGTGCTCCTATGAAGCGTTCAAATTTATGACTTTCGGTAACCACTTCCAAGAATTGATCATCGCTACAGTATTTCACGTCTGACACGCACATTATCGAGAAAGGTCCATTCCGATTAGTAAAAGGCAAAATATATTATACAATCACCAGGGAGCCGTCATCCATAAATGGTGACCGGCCAGTAATAGCACTAGGAAGCTGGACTACAACACAGATGACCACTGAACAGCCTATCATTATCGGTAAAAGAGGGACGACACAAAACATAGTGGTCAACTATGGACAACTCTCGTTCCACTCTTGGTAGCACCTGCTGCGACAGCAAAAGGTCCATACTCCATAGACCTAAAGGCAAGGGTACTTTAAATGGGTCTATCGTAAAGAAAGCCAAAGGGTACTTTTACTTACGACCATCGTGACTTTCAGGTTTCAGGGGGGTCTTTCCCGTATTCCCAAAGCGCATGCTCCAAAGAAAATTACCGTCAATAACTGGGAAAGGGAGTCTCGTTCATTACGGGTCACAGTAACATACATACATAAAACACACAAACAAGGCCACAGTTAGACAGACAAGAGAGTTGAGAGCTGGAGACCATAGCTAGAGAGACACACACAAGATAGAAACAACGCATTGCAATAACTTCACAAGTGCAAACGCACAACTAATGAGGATCGTATTGCATATAGGTAAGGATTCAGGTGGGTCAATACCATAAAAGTGGCATGGAATGAAGCATCATGATTCATGAATGTATTCGATTTGGCATTACGGTTTTCGATGACGCTTTCATTTACGTACTCACAAAAATAGTGTTAAAAATGACGTTTACAGTAAATGCACTGCTCAGTCGGCACGGGAACATCAATATCATCAGTATAAGAGACCTAAGGCTCTTTTGGTATCTGTTGCCATTGCATCCACAGGAGTTAACGACACATTTCCGCGCCGACACATACAACCATTTACCACAGTAGCAATGCATCAGCCAATACCACAGAATGAATGGGGCAATCTATTTCAATTGCCGAAAATAGCGCAGATATATAGGAGAATAAATGAGGAACAAAGACACAAAGAGGTCGGTTTCGGCGTGCGCTCTGCCCGGGATATCGACATTTTCCGGCAACTATACCAATCCAGATGCAAATAATTCACTTGATCACCGGTCCGTATGGATGAGCAGCCTCAAATACATTAGCCTCTGGCCGATCGATTGGTGCAGTTGGACCACAGCGTTCATATGTTCATCGAGAACTGGTACACAGTTGGTGCAGTGTTTAACAGAACCGGTTAAATGAAATCAGTCGACTGACGGAGTCCAAAAACCTGCGCTCGGGTCAAATTACCTGCGGTCATCAACCAAACTAATTTGAAGACGCTCCGGGCACCTTTTGGTATCCGTCAAACTCTCTGTGACGACCGACGTTATCTCCAAGGAGACTACCAGCATCCGGGCAGCTCAGGATAACAAGCACATCGGGGACACATAATATGCGACCCTGATCGGGAGATAACGAGAACACATCGTGTAGCACTCGCCTTCTGATTGTTTTTTCCTCGAAATGCCTTAGTAACCTAACAAGAAGCATACTTGGTGAGACCGGGCTGTGGTATTCCCTGTCCCAGCCACCACACGGCAACTGGCTAAGGGAGGCAAGTATCGTTACACCAATGTCTTCTGATATTTTTTTCTTATTTATAAGATGTGATATCGGTTCTGGTATCAAGATACCTGCTGTCTCAAGCAAATGTCCATCTCCGTTAGAAAACCAGCTGCCCACCGGGCCATAGCCAGTCTGGCTCGCACCCCTATCCGCCGCCCGGGACACACCCAGACAGTTTGGCTCAGACCCCAGTCCGCCGTCCAGGACAGTCTGACTCGGACCCCAGTCCGTCGCACAGTCAGATGGCCTGATCCGCACCCTTGTCAGCCACGCACGCCACAGTCAGATAGTCTGACTCGCACCCCTGTCCGCCACCCAGGAGGTGCTCGCTCTGTGTGTGCCACGCGCCACTAATCTCACCAGGGATTAGTCGCCTGGACGGAGCGAGAAGGGAGAGGAGAGAGGAGAGAGCGAGGGGAGAGAGAGAGAGAGAGAGAGAGAGAGAGAGGGGGGGGGGTGGGGAAGGGGTAAAGAAAAGGGTAGGGGAGGAGGGAGAGGGAGAGGGAAATTAGTCTGCATGGAAACTAATGCCATCGGATATCAGTTTTGTGTTAAATTCAGCGTCATAGCTTCTATTTTTCTTAGCTTTTAGATGTAAGAACGTTGTTTACTTTATTTCATTCATTTACTTTGCAAAAAAGTCTCACGATTCAGAGCTTTTTTCCTACAGAAAAACACAATTTAAACTAATAGCGTTTTTTGCTACTGAAAAATGAAAACAAACCTTCGATTATTTTTGGCGATGTTTGCAAGGGCTCCTGCTTAATTTGTTATCCAAATTAAAGTGAGGTTTGAAGATAAGTGGAACGGACTGGTAATTGATTCCGCAACCAATTATCAATTATGGAACACTATCCGTGCAGAAATTATAACCGACATCAAAAGGATGGTAACTCAAACCTGATAAAGCAAACATGGGGTTCTCTAGGTGGTGATTTAAGCCGAGGGCGCTCGGAAAATGCTGAACGATCAACGAGGAACATCAAAAGCCGGGCCCAAAGTGGCATTCGGGACACCTTTGGTCAGATAAATCACATCAAACAGTCGTATGTATGGCGTCGGCGGCGGGGCTGCGTCCGAGCGGTTGCGCTGACGGTCATCCCACCGCCGTGCGATCGGCCACTAACGGTCGGCCATCGACGACACCCGCGGCGGCGGGCCGTGTTTTCCAGCGACCGGACCCGGCACAACGCCGGCAAATCCGCCCCGCAGTCGCGGTCTGCCGACACGCTGAAGACACAATTGAATTTCCCGTGGAGGCGCCGGGCGGCGGCTGGCTGCTGGGCGGCCGTGGAGTCGATGGGTGCCGAATGGCCTGCTCTGATCGGCAGGCCGGCTCCGCACCGCTCGGAAACAATGGCAGCCGTACGGCCGGCCGGCAGCCGCTGAGCCGGCGCCGCGCCCCCCTGATCCGCCAAGGAGGTGGTCCTTAATCGAATGGGATCGCGCCCGCCGCCCCAAACACGATCAAAGCCCAGCGGCGATCAAAGCGGCTCAGAATGACGGCACATTGAGAGTCGAGAGGCACATCGACCAGTGCCCGTCTTCGCCCGGCCGGCCAGCCAACAGCGACGCAAACGGCTTCAGATGGCAGATGGGCCGCGCGGCACCTGACCTGCTGCAGACCAAAGGTAGCTGACCTACTGCTGACCAAAATATCTGACCTACTGCAGAGCAAAGATGGATCACATGGAATCACGGGTCTGCGGAGCGGGAACTTCATTAAAAAATCCTCCGTTTAAAATGCTCCTTCCTGAGTTGGTCATGGCTAATACATGTTGCATACAAAACATCTCATCTTGTTTTGATTTCTGCTAAACGGTACCAATCAGGTCCGGTCGGATGGAGACATATGCTTGCTGAAACTAGAATCGCTCCCCGCCCTGTCTGCCCGACTGATGCCGGAGCAGCACTGCTACCGAGCTGCCCTGTTCAATGGAAGCCGTTCTCTGTCTCGCCTATTTTAATAGACAGCGGCCTGACCCAGTCAGACGGGGCTGTCTCCAGGTCGATCACTAGGTCACGGTCGGGAAGGACACACGCAGACAGCCCGCCATCGGTTCACGAAATGTCGGCGGGGTCTGACGTCTGTCCGCCTCCACCCTCAGCTCCACGAAACACGAAACGAGCCCAGACAGGGAGGACGAAGATATCCACGGATAATAACATTGATCGAAACATATGATCCCAGAGGTAGCACCGGTGGGCGGGACACACGATTAGGGAGGTAGCATTGGCGGGCGGGACACACTGACACTACCCAGGAGGTAACATTGATACCGCTACAGTATTCACACGGTGTTTACTAGGGACCTGAGCTTAAAATGCAGCTGGCGGTGGGACGCGCTAACTTCGGTCAATAGGTCTAGAGGTAAACCCAGTCCAATACTGGACCGATGGGCAGTGTGGGCCTGTCTCACCGACGTCGGAATCGTGACAGGAATATTCAATGCTGTCACCAAGGAATGGCATGCATACGGTCTCCCGACACATATCACATATTTCACGTAGCAGATGCTGGGGCGGGCGAAGAGAAGTCGAGCCACTGATCCAACACACCAAACTCTTTCAATGCTTTCCCATGTATAAAAAGATATTATTAAAATCATGATCAGTTTGGTTTTGAGGATCCTCAAGCTGTATCCTCCCTCGGCAACCCACCACCCTCCACCGGCATCTCTCCCTCACAACCCTCAGGTAGTCTGGGGTTGTGAACCTATACCCCCATCCCTCCCGTGCAGCGGCGTCCTGTTCCGGTCCCCATCACTAACCTTCGCACTGTTTCCGGAGTGTCTCCGTCAGCTGAGGGCCAGCCCAGTCGGCACACACCCCCAGCTCGCGCAGAACATTGACGGCAGAGAACCTCTCGAGCGCTGAGCCGGGGGGAGGCGAGGCGGGCCGGCGGGGTCCCGGCTGCACCAGACTACTCCAGTCAATATCCAGAGCGTCCACCAGACCTGAATGGGGGGGGGGTGGTAGAGTGAGAGGGGCACCGACGGAAGAGCAGGAAGACAGAGAGAGGGATAACTCAGATTTACAACGAGTAACCCTGACAGTCCCGGGGCAGCAACACTGACTAGTAGCTCCCGTGAGAACTATGATGGCGGTGATCTGATGATGATTGAATTGTCCAGCCGGCTGAACTGCAAACCCATCTGTTTTACGACGGGTCTCATGAGGATGTCGGGCCGCGCATCGTGTACACTGTACAATAACGCTTCAGACATGCCGTGCGCGTGTAAATCACTCGCCCTGGAGGGCCACGAGTCGGTTATAAATCACAGCGCTCGGAAGGAGCGGCACGCTGCCGGCCGCACGGCGACCTCCGTCGGAGCGAGCCATGAATCACTGCAGAGGAGTATGGACGGCCGCCCGGCGCAGAGTAGCTGCCGGGCGGGATCTCCCGGAGACTCGTGGCACAGAGACGGTTCCAGCTTCCAAGTACAGTCATAGACACACAGTCCCATATATACAGCACAGACAAATTCACATATACGCCGCACAGACAGTCCAAGACACAGTCACAGACACACAGTCACATACAGGGTGTCTCAAAAGTTCGCTTACACATTTCCCATGTCAATAAAGCATATAAGAACCGGCCAAAAATCTAAGGTTTTGGTGTCCGTGTGTACACTAGACAAATATGCATGCTTTGACAACTGATTCGGAAGGTTGGAAACCAAACCCTTTGCTGTATCTCCAAAAATATTTGCCCATACCGATATTCGTCACTCCGTCAGCTGCCGGATGCTGATAAAAGGTTACCAGCTTTCAAGCTCTTGTAGGGGAATCCCCTGCAGTTTCTGCGTCGGATTTAGGTTTGACGAGCTCCCCGGCAACATCCGCTTCTCCCTGAAAGCCGACAGCTTGCATCGACACCATCCGTGAGTATTTTGTAGGTCTTCTCTGGCGCTAACTCCTTCATGAATGACTGGCGCCGACTTCCCAAGCACCATTTTTCTTTTCAAAACAACCCCATTCCTGAACAAATGGGAAGTGCCAGGGGCAAATTTTTCGCAGCATATCGTAGCAGAATGTGTCGGCCATCTGTTTCTTAGACACATTTTGCAAATTTTGCAAATCCCGAACGCTCGTCATTCCCAATGCCAAGACCTTCGCTGGGTTCCGGAGTGTTTTCCTCAGGAGAGGTTCTGCTTTGTAAACGGCCAAAACCTGTCCATCGTGCGGTTTTGTCCGGATTTTGTGTGTAAAAGAAAGCTATTTGCTCCAGATCTGCCTCTTGAAACTTCGTTAGATAAAACTTTACATTAATTGACACTTTTGGAGGGTCACTTGTCCTCGGCATTGACGATTTTCGCATTATTTTCCCTCAAAATTTAGCGTATAGATATTATAAACAATTTAAAATGATATTTTGTCTTTATTTTATGATGACCTGCAATTTTTGAAGCTGGGTAACCTCTGTCTGTGAGCTTCTAGTCAGTTTTCAATAGTTAGGACTGCATTTTCAGCTGCTTTCCGGAGCACGAGTCCGCTGCGGTACAAGGGTCGTTCAAAGCGCTGTTAGTCTCGCATGGTTTTGTCCTTCAAAAATTTTAGCCACCGTTTTTATTAGATGACCAACATGTTGTACTCATCCTCGCCGACACTTTGCCATGTGTCATTTCCGACCTAACCATTCCCATTACCCGTGAAGCAGAGAGTTTCTCAGCCGACCCGAGTATGCGACCTCCATTTTCATGCCTGATCCATGATCAGAGGTGAACCCTTTTTGTGAGCTCATGAAGGGTCGAATGCGCTTGAAAACAATGAAGCTGCTTGAGGAAGGTTGTTACCAATGCCCATGCAAAATTTCGACTGTTAATTTCTTGTTGATTCAGAATTATTGACAAAAAAGCATGGCTGGTACCTGTAAGCGAACTTTTGAGACACCCTGTATATGCCGCACAGACACAGTCCCAGACACAGTCTCATCAGTGGCAGGCAACCACCTGCATCCGCAGACGAAGAACCGGAGACTCGATGTAACGGACCGGGGACTCACTAGTCACTGACAGACTCGCCCTGATAGACCAGGGACTCAATGACGGACTGGAGAGTCACTGACTCGTCACTGAGTCAGTGACTCAGTGACGTCAGTGACTGAGTGACGTCAGTGAGTCACTCACTGACTGACACAGTGACTGGCGTCAGTGAGTCAATGAAAGACGTCAGTGACTGACTCGTCTCGTCACTGAGGTTGTATCCGCAGACGGCGAATGGGAAACTCACTTTGACGGAACACGGACTCAGTGACGAGCTGGGGACTCAGTGACGAGCTGGGGACTCAGTGACGAGCTGGGGACTCAGTGACGAGATGGGGACTCAGTAACGAGCTGGGGACTCAGTGACGAGCTGGGGACTCAGTGACGAGCTGGGGACTCAGTGACGAGCTGGGGACTCACTGGCGAGCTGGGAACTCAGTAACGAGCTGAGGACTCACTGGCGAGCTGGGAACTCAGTAACGAGCTGAGGACTCAGTGACGAGCTGGGGACTCACTGGCGAGCTGGGAACTCAGTAACGAGCTGAGGACTCAGTGACGAGCTGGGGACTCAGTGACGAGCTGGGGACTCACTGGCGAGCTGGGAACTCAGTAACGAGCTGAGGACTCAGTGACGAGCTGGGGACTCACTGGCGAGCTGGGAACTCAGTAACGAGCTGAGGACTCAGTGACGAGCTGGGGACTCACTGACGGGCAGGATATTTTGATTGGACCTACTCTGACGCACCAAGGGCTCACTGATGGACCAGGGACTAACTCATAGATCGGGAAAATCAATGACGGTCCGAGGACTCACTCGTATGACGGACTCACTGACGGACCGGGGAGTCCGGGGGCTCACTGACGAGCTGGGGACTCATTCTGACGGACCGGAAACTCATTGGACTCACTGGCAGGCTAAATGACGAACCGGGGACTCACTGACGGACCGAGGGGTAACGCTGACAGACTCGTGAGTCCGGGACTCACTCTGACGAACCGGGGACTCACTCTGTCAGCCTGACGGACTGGGGACTCACTCTGCGGTTTGGTGTCGGTCGGCTCGGGCTCAGAGTCCGCGTCCTGGCGTTGCTCCGGCCGGGCCGCCGCGGCAGTCGGGGTGGTGGGTGTCGCCCCCTCAGCTGCAGGCGGCGCCGGAGGTCCCTCCCGACTGTCACGCCGCTCGACAGAGGGCGTCCGGCCGGTACCCAGGGCTGAGCAGCGCGAGGACGGTCGCTCGGCGTCCTGACCAGAATCCTCCTCGAATGTGATCTGACCCTCCTCCTGAGGATGGCGGCGGACGGGGCGACGGTCATTTACCGGGCTATGATGGTATTTCCGCAAGGCAAAAGCACATAACCAACATATATCAAAATGTTGGTTATGTGCCTTTTGCCTTTGTGTGGCAGCGCAATGAAGTCCCACCCTCATCACAACATCCCAATAAACTATCGTTTTAGATTACCGTCCAAGCAACAAGTTATTTACTCATAGTCAGCTGTTCTTAACAATTTCTTCACCAGTCATCACTTAACATTTCACCACGCAGCTGTCCGTGTATTCCTCACCTCGTAGTCTCTGTTTAATATCTCGTCGGCGTCATCGTCAGAGATATCGGAGAGGGACTCGGTCTGAAGATCGGTGGGCGGCGCGACCTCTACTGCGGAAGGTGGAGCCGCGGAGGTGCCGCCGCCCTCACCGACACCATCCGGGCCGCCGTGACTGCTGACACTGAAACAGGAGGTATAGCTTGAGGAGAGCATAACAAAACACATTTTCAGGGACTTCCTACTCATAATCTGAGAGTTAAAAGTAATAAGATTGACATTAGCTTAGCTTGGTGTACCTGAGGAAAGCCAAAAAAAAAACATACGGGAGCTGTTAAAGGGACAGTATCACCATTTTGATGAAATTTGACATTGCATAGGCCCCACCTTTCTGGTCCGGGAACTGAAGACCGATCCTCGAAGCTCCACACCGTTTTCCCGCTATCGCCGCTCAAAGTACGAAAGGTGTACCACACTTTGAATCGTGCTTCACTATCTTCACTGTTTAAATGTTTGCGCCGTTTTGAATTGACCGCCAGTAATAAAACTTTTACCCTGGTCATTTCATCAAATTTTATAAGGCCAAAACGTTTTTCGCACTTATTCATCACCGTTAAATTCATTAAATAGTCGTAGGCAATTTCCGCTGTTTCCTTCGGATTCTAGCGGCTCAACAAAGGAATTCCTCCAGCTTGAATCACAATCTCCCTCCAATGTATGACGTTTATCACGTGATTGTCACGTGATATTTTCTCCCATTGTCAATTGTCACGTCCAATTGTCACTCCCTCCAATTGTCACGTTACATTTTTATAGGCAATACCTAAGGCTACCTCTCCCTAAGGACAACTCAATCAGAAGAACGACCGCGTAAGCGTAGCGTCAATAATGTATTATCTGCGCCAGTTCTGTAGTAATTTTGCATGCTTCCAAACTGGCGGCCATGCTTGTATAGTGGTGGTTCGCTCATGAAAATGAATCATGAAAATGAAATGTGGTTGCAATATTTTTCACCGAGTTCGGTCCTCAAACTATGTTTTTCTGATTCAGAAAAATAAGAAATGCTAGTAAAAAAAAATCAGCTCCATACATGGATATTTTTTTCGATGATACTGTCCCTTTAAAGTAAGTGTTATTGACAGATTTACGCTCACCAGTCACCACCGGACCACCACCGACATCTCTCCCCACCCTAGAGCGGTGAGTGTCGCTGACCTCTGTTCGCCGCCGGCTCCGTCCGCCTTCTGCACCCAGGCGTCCTTCCCGGCGTCGTAGCTCCAAAGCTCGCCCGGCATGGGCGGCTCCGGCTCCCGGGAACGACGACTCGGCTCCGACGGACCTGACTCTGTAGGGGGGGGGGGGAAGGGGTGAGACGGGCTATCTATGGGGGAGGGGGGCGGGCGGGTTCTGCTCCCGAGAACGACGACCCGCCTCCGACGGACCAGACTGTGTAACACACTGATGCACGGATGGGTGCATTGTTAAGTTCATTGCGCTATCCAAGGGTTGTAAATTCCTTAACCCTATTCCTGGCGGGGGGGGGGGCTTCAGGAGCCCCCCCTGAGGTTTTTTGGTTATATCTCCCAAACGCGTTGAGCTAGGAAGCTCAAATTTTCTGACTTTTCCTAAAAGGCTTCTACGCAACATGTCTGAAAATTTTGAGTTGATCTGACCTCAGGTCAGGTCACCAGAGGCGGTTTGGTGACGCTACCTCAGAAAAGTTTGCAATCACGCCAGAGCTAGAGTTTTTGACCGATCAATTTCTTCTCTTCAGGGTTTAGTTAGGGTACCAGTATGTGCAATTTGTATATCTCGGAATTTTGATATCGGTGACCTAAGGTCAGGTCAATTTCGCGACCTCCCCATTATAAGTCAATGGGGGAAAAATCAACTCCCTGTTTTTACCACTAAAACCGGTCGGAATGGCCCCATATACCATACATGACTTCATATACGATCAACCTTCACTACCTTGAGGTCTGTTTTGCTGTTGGGCAGCTGTGAGGTCATGTGACGTCATCAAAGGTCACCAAAGGTTTTTGGCCAATAACTCCGTACAGGAACAAGATACAGACGCGTGGATGGTCTCATTGTGTTCAGCTCGTCAAGACGCATCGAATGATATACATGATGACCTCGAGGTCACGTGACCTGAGGTCAACCTTTGACCTTGACCTTTCGAGGTCAACATATATATCATTCGATGCGGATTGACGAGAGGATCACGATGATGCCCTTAGTTTGTTCCTATCTTGACTAATTCGAAAGTTATTCGAGAAAAACTCTCTCCATATCTAGTGCCGCCATTTTGACTTTTTCGACCCCTGTGACGTCATCTTTGACCTGACCTGAAAATGACCTTTGTAAAAATTGTAGATCTTGGCCGTGCGTATCCGATGCCGTTTACCGCTTGTCGCTATCTTGCTTCGTTCTCGAGATCTCAGGGGGGGGGGGCCGAATCGGCCCCCCCCCCCCGCCAGTTTCTTGTCCCGGCGGAGCCCGCCAGGAATAGGGTTAAGGATTCGCGAGAAGAGCAGAAGTAGAAAGACGCTATCGGTGTTGCGATAGTGCACATTACGAAGAAAAAAACACTAAATGAGCGGCGTGAAATGGCACAGCCGTTGCAATCTAAGAGGATATCAAAAGCATATCAGAAATGTGTGCGGGTGATTTTCAATTATCGCAAAAGGCCTGAGGGTCTGCCAGCATCAGACGATAATCAAACGAAGAACCTGGTCGCAACCAGAGCTACCCACAACCCAGGCAAAGTCACGAATCCTTACCTGATCGGGCGGCGGCTGGGGACGGTGCCCTCTCCTCCTCCTCCTCAGCCCCGCTGCCTCCCTCCTCAGATCTGAGGACACGACAGAGGACGGTCAGATACGTGAGCGGACCGGTGTGCTAACTGTACGCACACTGTACAATGGAAATAGAGCTCAAGTGAAGCAGTGACGATTAAGAGAAAGCGCAACATAATTGCAATGATGAAAAGATAGCATCAAGCGAATCGGCTAACAGAAATAATCGGCAATACATATATGTGTAGCTATAAAAGAGCCAGAAAAGTAATACAAAGCATGTTTATGGGGAAACGTGTCAATATTTTGAAGTCAAATGAAACATACGTTTAGATTCATAGCCATTGATCCCTCGTAGGGTTTGAGCCCAGGACCGTGCTCCACTCACCGGACCTCGTCGCGCACAATCATGTCTCCGGGGTCGGGCGGCGGCTCCAGCTCCGGCTCCTGCTCAAAGTAGCCCGGACCGCCGACATTGTGGTAGCCGCCGCGTCGGAACGGCGCCGGCGCCCGGCCGCGGCGCGCCGGACCGCCCCAGTCGACAGCCTGGCGGCGGAACGCCGGCCCGCGCACCGGCGACCAGTCGCGCGCGCCGCGCGGCGGACCTCGTACAGGCACCGGCACCGGAGGCGGCGGCGGCGGGGGCGGCGGCGGCGGAGCCTCCTCGTACGGCAGCCAGTCGTCGGCGCGCGGCGGCAGAAGCCGGTCCAGACTGCGGCGGGGATGAGCGGGTCAGAAGGGACAATACAGCGCTGCCGTGCTGCTTCAGGGGGAATGCGAACAGCTGGAGGTACACTTGACATCATAAGAACACTGAGAATCTAGCAGTTACCCGTCAATCCCATCGTTTGCCGCTGGGTTGACCGTTACCCATTCATTCCTCCGTTCCTTGCCGTATGCCACTGTCCTAAGTCCGCCCCACTCTTCCGCCGAGTCCCTTTTTCCTCACCGTTTCCCAGCCCTATCCCACCCCACCTGCGCCGATCGTCGGCATGCCGGACGTAGGGCGGCCGGGAGGCGCGGTCGTCGGGTGCCGGTACTCCGAGCAGCGCCCGCCGACCGTCGCCGCGGACTGGGGAGAAGCGACGTGGTGGCAGCAGCGGCACCTCGTCATACGGCAGCGGCTCTGTCGAGAGGGGAGAGGAGAGAGATGTCAGCCTCGGTGCCTGTCGAGTGGACCAACTCAGAGAACCCGTTCCGTGACATAGCACGCCACACTCCTACAACGCTCTGTAACACAAAATGCTACATCGCTAGGACGCAAAATGTTACACTCCCAAACCATTGTACCACAGCGTCCCATCCTACGCATTCTCTCCACGCTATGCGGGGCGTCGGCAGACATGTTTGTATCAGCCCTGCCGAATGGAATCACCTAGCCAAACATGAATGTCAGCCGAATGTCACACAACATCTGTCCCCTCTTTGTTGCTCCCTCGGCAGTACCCACCTCTGCCAAAGTCTGCAGGCGGCGGCGGCCGGGCCGGCCGGTCCCACTGGCGGTCACGAGGATCGTCCCGTCGGCGACGTTCCTCCTCTTTGCGTTCATCCCAGACCCGCTCCACCGGACTCCGCCTGCAGAGAAAAAGACCGCCGAGATATCGTTACGGACATATAGGGACGACAAGGTGAGCCACACAAACGACATAACTTATTAGAGAGCACCAGTGATCATATAATATGCTGCTGTGAAATGATATATGTAAATGTGGAACACGCAGCAGTTTTGTTACCCATGCTTCATATTACCTAGCCTTGTTTCAGCACACAGCGGCCCCTTTGTGCGGCATCACGTCAGACCATCGTAAAGTCCCATCATCCCCTCAGTTTTTCCCATGGCACCCCTCTCTAGACGTCTCTCCTCCCTCGGACCACACGGCAACTCACCTGGCAGCGGTCTCAGCCGGTTTGGCTCGGACCGGCGATCTGCGCTCCTTCCGCTCCGGTCTATCCCTTGTGGTGCTCGCCGGCCGGCGGTCGAACGAGCCGCCCAGTCGAGCGGCCGGCGAGCGCGGCCTCGCCCTCTCCGGCGAGCGGCGGCGACTGCCGTCCCTGCGGCTCCCGCTCGGGCGCGGCGAGCGGCTCGCCCGACGCCGAGGAGACGGCGAGCGTTTGCGGGCGGCCGGCGAGGCGCGTCGCGGAGAACGGGACCTGGACGGAAAGAGAGAGTGGGGTGATGACGGGAGAGAGGGGTACAGAGTCATCAATTTCAGTAATCGGAACATTGCAAGCTACTGAGGAATGAAACCGATTTACGTAAAACAAAAAATTTCGACAGACATTTTCTTATGAAGATCGGATTACGAGTTACACTGCGATATCCAAGTTTAGAGATATACTACGAAAGAAACCCAACAGCATTGCGCATTTGTTCGTGTAGGTGTGAACTGACCTGATTTTCGGCGAGTTGGAGTGTCGCCGCTGGGATACGCTGCGGCGCCGGTCCCGAGACCGGGAGCGTTTCCGTCCGCGAGAGGTGCTCCGCCGACTGGGTGCGGCTGGCGCGGCGGCCGGGACGGGTGCTGGGGCGGACAGGGTCACCAGAGGTCAGAGCAGGTAGCCGGGGGTCAGCCTCGGCGATGAACACTGTGGCCTAGTCTGTGTTTCCAGAATTTTCATACCTATTTCGATAATACTACAAGTCCTACGCACGCAGGCGCTGTCCCTCCAAGAGACGGTCGCCTCTTGAAGCCACGCCCGGAGGACGTGGCTCAAGCGTGGCTCCGCCGCACATTCATCACTAGTCACTACTCATTGGTTGATATCACTGACAACAGTTCGTCAATTAACCGTGACACCCTACAGTCTCTTACCTCTCTCGGCGACCTTAGCTTTCCCAGAGGCATTCCTCCGCTTCTTCTGCTGCTGCTGCGGCGCCTTCCGAGCCGGAGAGCCCACCGGCCGTTTGGATACAGGCTTCTTGGCTGACAGCGGCTTCTTCTTGTCGCGTCTGCGCTTTGGCGGCGGGGAGCGCGACCGGTCGCGGCGGCGGCGCGCCGAGTCGCTCGAGCGGCGCCGTTTTTTGGCGCGCTTCCTGCGCTGCTCGTCCTCGGAGGACGAGGATGAGGACGAGTCGGAGGAGCCCGACGACGAACTGCTCGAGGAAGACGACGAAGACGACGAGCTGCGGCTGCGCGGACGCTTCACCTGCGGAGCACGCGCGGCCGTGAGCGAGTAATGGTTAGATAATGGTTATTCAAGAAATATTTAGGTGTGTTGTCATACCACCCACACACAAACACACATAATAAAACAAGCATAGCATTTTCACACACACTATTGATAAGCCTTTGCAACACTTTGACAACTTTATAAAATGGCCTCCTCTTTTGGAGCATGCTATCAAAAATTCCTAGTAAAACAGCCTATCACACTGTACCAGTAGGACCATGGGCTCACCCGCTTCTTTTTTATGTCCTTAGTGGTTTTCTCGGGCTCCTTAATGATCTGAGTCTTCTTGGGTGGCAGAAGTCGCTCCTCCACTGGCTCTGGGTCTTTCTGTACTCAGATGAGTGAAGCACAATGTCATTTTAGAAGCAATAACTTGGGTACATACCTAGCAACATGCTGTTAGCAAAAACACATTTTCCAATCTCCCCAAATTGTACTAAAACAGGCATAAAAATAAAAACCCACAGTATTTTTTAGCCATCTAAGTACCTTATTTTCTACATATGTAGGTAACTTGTAACTAGCCATACATGATACATAGTGCATTGAATGTCATCCATCCCTGTCAGAAACATTAAAAGTGTGCACAAGTGAGTAGTGACCTGAGAGAGCAACTCACCACAAGAATCAGGTCTATAAAGTGATCTATCACTATCAGAAATTGGACACTAGACACTAGACAGTGAGGACAGCTTACCTCTTTTGGCTGTTTACTGGATTTAGGCCTGTTTCCCTGCTTTCTGGAAACAAGGTGAATTGGAATCAGTGGATACCATTATTACCACATACAAACAGCAACATAATGCACCAGCATTGCAGTAGAAAGATACAGAATGCACTCCTAGACCCAGTCTCAAAGTGCTGTACCTACTCATACTACCTATTCTTGTTACAGCATTTTGTACCCTAGCATGTATGGCCAATACATAATATATGGTGCAAATCTGAGCATAGGAAACATTTCTCATCATCCTGGAACCATCAACATACATAGGACTGAAGTGCATCAAAATCATTTAGCATTTAATAGTGGCGTACTGCCGCTGCTGTTGTTGGAATAAGCTGCATAGCTGCGAAGCTCAAGCCTCCAACTTCTGGCTGCTCAAGTGGTTCTTCCTCTTACATTTTTGGTTGAGGCATGCCCGGCTTGGTGCCAAGCCTCTCAAAAACGCTGGGACGTTTGGGCAGCTCCACACTGATTTTCCTACGAGAGGACATCTCAACTTAGGGATGATTACATCAGCTACAGAAATAATCTTAAATTTCAACAAGCACAATTTTGCAAAATCATGTTGAATCTGCAACAAAAATTATAGAAACTTTCAAAGTCTTTTATTCGCCTCTTTTGACGAAGTAAATTCATTTGCGCTGATTTTGTAGCACATGCGCCAAAAGTCGGCTGCTTCAACAGGTTTTTTTTAAAATTTGCTTTATTTGTCAAAAGCGCATTACGTATTTGTTATGTGCCACTCATAGACATTTTGAGCCTTAAAAAAATATTTTTATTTTAATCCTGGTTTTCAAGTAATTATTGGAAGCCTTACTTATTTTTAGGTAGACCACCAAATACAAAATTGTGCAACTAATGCGTAACTGGTTCCTGGTATTGTTTTTTATTATATCTATCAGAAATGTAATCAAATAAGTAATCATTTTAAGTAATTTGTATATTTTCCATGTGTTTTCCATGAGGTCACATATGACCTCCCCTCACATTAGAAATTGGACTCGCTGGTAAACGTGGTCATTGCGCATGCTCCGACAGCCGATAACAAACACAGCAGAAATTGTGCCGCCGATCTTCGCCCGCGGTTGCGGTAGTTCTCTATATACCGTGGTTGCGGTGAGGTGGCAATTCTAGGGGGGATTTACTGCGTGTTTCGCGCGAAATTTTGTGATTTTTATAGATGTAACGTCCACACCAAAAGCATCGCCATGGTGAGTATGTGTTCCGATTCATAAAGTCACTGTGGGCCTCGTGCGAATGATGTTTCCAAGCTGCTTTTACTCTGCGCGTCAGCGCAACCTGTTGCATGTATGGCACCATAAGGGTCACATATCCCTGTCAACCTTTTTCACCTTTTGTGCTGGCTACTGTTGATATGGTCAATCTTGCATGTTAACAATATTGTGCTGCCTTTTTATCTTGCATAGGTAGTGACTAAGTCAACTTGAAGCATGTTACGTGTCCCACTTCTGCTCATAGATCAGGGTAATGGGTCATTTGGTATGTGCTACCAATCAGCACATGCTATGAGAATGTTGTTGATGCTGTGTTCATGTACTGCTTCAGCTTGGCATACTGTATACCTATGTTTAATGAGCCATTGTAAGTCAGGAGGGCTCATGATTCAGGACATCAGGGTGCTCTTTATTTTGAGTTTTTGTCATTATATTGTGACTAGCCTGCTAGCATTTTTGTGCTTCATTGGTGAAATCCACAGGTGTTCAATGAGAGGCCAATAAACCCCAATATGAATAAGTAGGTAGCTTTTATTTGTGGCTAAGCTAGAAGCATGATAACTAACACAAACGGTGCTCAGATGCTCTTGGGAAGTGTACCAATTTGCCTGTCAAGGCAGTTCAGATTGAGATAACACATTTGCCTACAGATGAAGTGGGAGTTCAAAGCTGACCCTTTGAGCAGGAAGGACAGCAAAGAGTGAAAGTAGGGATACAGGATCTTAGCAATCTGAGCATTGGCCACCCATTTCTTGAAAGGGAGGGAAGGCAGCCGAACCAGAGAACTTTGTTTTAACACGCGCACTGCAGGGGGGGGGGTTGTTTTCAACCCCCCCCTGTGGTTTTTCGCAGATCGCAAGAAAACGGCGGCGCGCAGCGCCGCCAAATTTTGCATACCTGTTCTCCCAACTGTTGCGCACCTTGAGTGAAAATTTTGACCCCAGGTGACCTATGGTCAGGTCACCAGGTCAGGTCAAGTGACCCTACCTCAGAACGTAAATTTCGAAGTTTGCAATCCCACCAAGCCCACAGTTGTTGAGATAGGATCTTGAAACCCGCAGGAAGTAGTAAGGGCATCACGAGCTACAATTTGTATATCTCGGAATTTTTATATCGATGACCTAAGGTCAGGTCATTTTTGCGACCGGCCCATTATAAGTCAATGGGAGAAATTTCAACTTACTCTGAATGCCATCCTATGACTTCAATATGCTCAGGATCATAGTATTACAGGTCCCTGTTGGTGATTTCGCCGAAGTATATCACTTGTGACCTTTGGAAGGTGACCTCCAGGTCATCTGAGGTCACCTGAGGTCACCAACGGTTTTTCTTCAATAACTTGAGATTGAATAGAGATAGAGACTCCGTTCGACGTTTATCGTGTTTGTCTCGTCAATGCGGATCGAATGATATGCAACATGACCTATTTCGGTCAGGTCATGACCTTGACCTGAGGTCAAATTTTCAACTTGACCTTTCGAGGTCATATTATATATCATTCGATGCGCCTTGACGAGCTAAGAACGATGGCGTTCGAATCAACTCTCTATCTATTCTGTGTAACGAGTTATTCAAGAAAAACTACCGCGAAATTCCCGTTGTGAAAATCGTAACATTTTGTCTTCGGTGACCTCTGGTGACCTCGTTTTTGACCTAGGACAAAAATGACCTTAGTATTTCCTCTAGATAACATCCCGACCTATCCAACGCCGTTTACCGCTTGTCGCTACGTTGCGCCGTTTTCGAGATCTCAGGGGGGGTTGTTTTCAACCCCCCCCCTGCATTTCGTGTTCGGCTCAGACCCGCTGCAGTGCGCGTGTTAATTTTTAGGAAAAGTATAACTTCTGAAATACAACATGGTCTGCTAACACTTAACAGAATCATAAGTCATTAGGATGAGCAGGATGGTCAGATTATTTTTGCACCAAAAATGCCTCCTTAGTCCTTATATTACTGGACTGTCTTGTGTGGGTGACTGAATCTTGTATCTTTGTTATTTTTCCATGTTGCATGACATGAATGTAAAAATTGTTCTGATTTATCTAGCACATTTTGCTAAACCTAAACCTGGACTGTGACTAATTACTGGCCCACATGTTATACCTTGACAATTTTCATTTATTTGACTTTTTGAAATGTTGATAAGGTTGATATGTTAGGTGGTATTTTTTGCTTAATGCACCTGCTGTTATGTTGCTGAATTGTCAAAACTGAAAGAAGCCTTGATGGATTATTTTATGTTCTTGATTTTCTGTAGTTTTCTTTTCTATTAATTTGCACAATTATGTGTTGCAACTTCTGAATACCTTGACAGCAAAAAGGAGCTGCATTCTGGGCTGGGCAAGAGTTGGGTATTATAGTGCTGGAATAGGGCCCTCACCTGATCATTTTGTTATCAGCAAATATGAAAAACTTATGTTTCCCAGATCCCAGATGTCATGAAACACAAAACCAATTGGCAAGGGTGAATGACCTGTTTTTAATGCTGTATGTGGATAGTGAAAAAAAATTAATAAGAAAGAATTGAAGGTAGCAAGGATTATTAAGGAAATGGGTGTGCTCAGAAACTGTGTGGGAAGTGGTGATGATGAGCTCATATCACAGGGATAAGATAGGGTTGGGTGCTGCTGCTTCAAAACAGTGTTGACTTGTGATGGTGTGGGAGAATCATGATACCATCATACATTTTGTACTGGATAGGAGAAGACTGAAGTGGATAAGCAGTGTGTTAATGTCATGTCTACTAATAAAATTTGTAGTGTATTGTGTAATAAGGCTCATTATGTATATGTTGCCAAAGTGTCTTTTATAGCGTACTTTAAAATGCATTAGGCTAACACAGGAAGGTTTTTTATTGGTTGTGGTGGGTGGAGGAATGGTTTTTGAAGTTAACATGCCACTTCTTTCATTTCAGTCAACTGGAAACAGCAATAATGTATCACCATCAGCTTCCCCTGGCATTGGCTCCAGCAATGCCCCTAAATATGGCACTTTGGTGCCAAACAGGTATGCCATTGTTTTGTAAGGCTGTGTTACTGAGCCAGTGCAGATGTTTGACTTGGTTTTGACCAAAGGACTGACTAGGTTGTTCTTGTTTCTGGCATGCCAAAGACACAGCTCCTGACACTGGGTGTTCTGAAGTCTCATGGGCTAGCTGTGATCTGGATAAGAGCTCTATTTGAAAGTAATGATTGGCCACATATCAGAGCAAAAAGTTTGACTGGCCACATATCAGAGCAAAAAGTTGTAGAAGCAGGTTTATGTTTCCACTTTGTTAGTTATAACAGCCTTATACAATCATGATGTAGCTACATATTTTAGGCTACCATCTAAAACATTAGAAGTTAATCATACACAACTAACAATCTTAATTAAAAAAAAATATGAACAAAGCTTACATGTAAATTGGGAATAGATAAAGGGTCCTTTGTGGAATTATGTCTATGAACTCTAATATTTTCTTTTCAGAGAATGTCTGTTTACTTCACTGTTGATAATTGCACTGATAAATGCACATGATTTCTGTTACAGAGTATTCGTCGGTGGGATCTCGCCGCACACTACTGAAGCTGAACTACATCAGCTGTTTTCATCATATGGGAATGTGAAAGCAACCAAAATCATTCAAGATCGTGCAGGCGTCTCCAAGGGGTATGGCTTTGTGACTTTTGAGACAGAAGACGAGGCGAGACGACTTCAGAATGAGGTGCGTACATGAAACCGGCAAAAGAATATGCACTAGGAAACCGTCGTTTCAGCGCTAGGTACTTACCTCTTACTAAATTTGAACTCAACTCCATGGATTTTCTTAGTCAGAAACCTACGCAGCAGATGCGTGGGTATTTTTATCAAAAAGGTCGTACGTAAATATGAAACAATGGGACTTGTGCGCCAGCTATATTTCATTGCAAGAACCATCAGGCCGTCGCCGATTGTACCTAAAGGAGCTTTATGTGATTCAGAAGGTAATTTGCATTGATATCTAACCGTAGACGACTCATGTTGCGTAAATAACATGCGCCTGAATGACCGAATTTCGTACAGATCGACGGCGGTGTGTGTCTGATCGCGTGGCGGGGTAGACTTTGTGTGACCTCCGATAGTTGATGTGATCACTTCCGACGTGACCGTCTTTGGGAGCGAGTGTATCATACTGTTCCGACTTCCAATACAGTATTTTACCAAGTTAGCGCCATACAGTCGCTGCAGAACGAGAAAAGTATTGCATTGTTAGGCAGATGTGTGCAAATTTTGACAATTGTTCCAGCTGGCAGTATGCCCGCGATCCACGGTACGCCTGCACCACATAACTAGCGCTTGATCGTCCCCCCCCCCCCTTCCCACTTGTTTGATCCCTAGCTCAGCAAAAAGAAAAAAACGACATCCCTTGTCAAAATATTGAGCTTGGTATTGTGTGAATCTGGCGCACTGTCTTGACGGCTATAAAACGTATATTTTTTCGCCAAAATTTAAACATTTGTCATTATTGTTACCACGTTTGGCGGCAGTCAATAATCGGGGTTTGAAGATTTAGGATGATTTGTGTTGTCCTTTCCAAAAGGCTGATGCACGATTTTCTAACTAGTTATATGTTCCCCATTTTATCTAAATGAACGTCTGCCTGGATGTCTGCTCACTGAATTTTCCATGTTTTCAGGGAGACAATATTATATTCAAGGACAGGAAGTTGAACATTGCTCCAGCAATCAAGAAACAAGTAAGTCACCGCATGTTTTCTGCATTGAACAAAAGGAGCGGATTCTTATGGGATGTCGGCCCCCTTCCAAGCTATCTAAAGTTCTTAGCATGCTGTTTTCTTCCTTTTTTGGATCGCTAGCAATTATCAAATGATATCGAGTGGCTGGGCACCTATCTATATATGATTAACGCTGGTTGGGCACTCAAGTCAGACTAATTAGTTTGCGATATGCTTTCCATGACGATTATACTGGTCTGGATGTCTGGTTTTCGAACAAAGCTTGACACCCGTTACAGGCATGGTCATCGAACAAAGCTTGATATCCGTAGGCGTCTGAAGGGTGCTGGGTTTAGAAACGGTCGTGTTCCTTTACTTATGCAATAGGGCATACATCCCGGAGATATTACGTAAGTGAGCATGTCAATATTTGAACGTGCTCCCCTGCGCCCTTGTTCAGGATAGATGCTTGGCCGACGAACCGCCTGTAGAAATGGAAACTGATCACCGACGTATTTCATGCAGGTGTCATGCCATCAGTCATTGCTTGGAATGGAGTGGTGCTACTTTTTTCGGGGGTTATTGCTTTAACAAATAATCTTCAGTGTCTGTGTCTACACATCTTAAAACATCGCAAGGAGCTGTCGAGTTGTTCGTTTTGAGGGCTCAACGGCAGCTGCAATCCTGATCCAGTGTCTAACGACAGCAGCACTCCAAACAGCATTCCTAACTACGGCTTCGAATGATCAATGATAGGCAGTTGCTTCGTCTCGCAGTAATTTTTGTTGGCAATCGCCGTATCGCCCTGTTTTTGTCGCTTGTATCGGGAGTCTGAGGTTTCTAAACGAAGTGAACATGCCAACATGGCTTGTTTCACAATTAATATACTATAAACATGCTATTAGGCTATGTTTTTCACTAGCGGTGTCTTGCGTTTGCTATGAAGTGATTGATAAGCTTGTTCGTAAGATATTCATTTTTCTGGCTTCTAACACGTCTTACCCGCTTGCCTCGCCATTAAATCCTGTGATATGTTCTCCAATGTAACAACTAATTGCCAGTGTTCCAGATAACAAATTGTTGCTGTTTGACTGCTTCACTTTTTAAGTCCAGGTAGTCCTACATAATACATACATATTATGCCTTCAGCAAGGGCTTATTGTCCCACGTTGACAACCTTCAGACTGTGTCAATAATTGGTCACTATTCCTACCCCGATGCTTTTGCAGTCGGACGTACCGATCGGGTGAGGTTGGTTGTCGGCATTCGGTCTGTGTGTTTTGTTTGTTCATTGTTGGCTGCGCGGCGCGTCCTTGCCGGTCGGTCGGCCCGGTCGGTAGCAGTGGCCCGTTGGCCGCAGGCTGCAGTGACCCGGTGTGCTGCCAGTTTGGCGACCGGCCAGGAGCCGAAGACGCCTCGATCCCGACCGGGTATTGTAGGCCTCACGGCGGCAACGAGCGCCGTCACACGTCGCCAATCAGCTGACGATCAGCACGGGGATCGACGGTTGGCGGTGTTTGCCGTTTTAATTAACTGATTGCTATCCGTTATATTGACATTTCAAGCCGTACATGGGAGAGCCGTGTCAATGACATGACACGACGCATGCAATATTCGCATTCCCTTCATCAGCTTTGCTGAGAAGTGGAAGGAACCGGAGACTGACTGGTTTAAATTTAGAAATATTTCGTAGATTGGCTGATTTTTCCGTCTGAGTTACCGCCATATCCATTAGGGGTGTTGTTTCTACTGGTTTGCCTGAACTACTGCCGGTCACGCGAAGTGGCCATTGAAGACATGTCTAGCCGTAACAATTCATACTGTCGTCTGTTATGACTAGTGTGTGCCCTGTCCCTACCCCCTCCCACAAACAACACGGGCCCGTGACGACTGACCAGTGACCACGTCAACTGGACGCCGCCATGCCATTTATTACCCGCCCCAGACGTCTGGACTGACCCGCCGGCCGGTCGTTTCAGCCGTTTTCGCGAATGATCGACCCGTCGACGGCGTCTCCGACGGGCACCGTGCTCTTCCACAACGGGATGCCGTACACGTACCACAACGGGATGGCGGTGTTCCCGGCTCAGGAGTACGGCGGCTACCCGGCCCAGCCGCAGTACCCCGTCATGTACTCGCAGCCGGTCATCATGCCCCAGCAGAATTTCCAGTACCAGCCGGTAGGTAGCGCGAGACGTCGGGCTTTATTGGCGCGCGGTGTGCTGTGTAATGGGTGATGAGGTGGCGAGCAATCACCCCCTGATGGCCCCGGTGGACTGCCTTTGCGTGCAGCGACTAGAACGGTTTGCAAGGACCTTTCCGCGAGCTGGCATCCTGCAATTTGCGTGTGCCCACGATATTTAGCTGCGCTATGGTAATTTGAAACACTGCCGTGTAATTTGAAAATGTAGCGTTTATTGTTCCGCGTTGCACCTTGTCCTGAGAGTTTGCTGCATAAATTGTCCGTGTGGGCGCGTGTCCGACTGTTTGACCGTGGCGTGCCTGTTTCAGAACCAACCCCAATGGCCCCAGTCCAACTCGCACTGGCGCTGGACCGCCCCAATTGGATATGCCCCTCAGGTAAGGAATGAAAAACACATGCCAGCAGTACTCCGTCCTAAAGTTTATTTTATACGCCACCCACGGTATCGCATATTCGGTATCCCACGATAGTTGCGCTGTCAAGATAAAGACATTTCCGAAAGGTCTTCGCTGATGGAATAAATGCCGTTGTTTGCAGTACCCCCGGAAAGGCTCCGCCTCATTGTGTAACTCGCCACTATGACTGACGAAACTGTACCGTATTGCCCGTCCCGGCCCAATCTGTTCACTCGTACTGGCCCGCTCGGGAGTGTATTGTGCTGCCACCTGGCGCGCTGAGCGTCCCGTGTCGTGTGTGTCTCCGGCGGAGGCTCTGCAGCTGCTGCCCGGTGCGCGCGTTTCAGTCGCCGTGCGCGGCGCTGGTGCCGGCGCCGGAGCCGCCTCTGCCGCTGGTCGGCCACCCCCCGGCCTCCTGTGTGCTCGGCGCCGACCGGATGTACTAGCCGCTGCCCCCGTAAGCGGCCGACGTGTCGTGCTGTGCAGCTGTGTTGTGCTGTGCTGTGTGTGTGCATATGTTTTGTGGTGTGCTGTGCCGTAACTACCGGTTTCGCCAGCCGGATAGCAGCTGTTTGGTGTTTGACGTCAGGGTGTCAAGGCTTGAGCACCTGTCGTGTTGCGGGGTCTGGTTACTGGCGTGGCCGGCTGTCGTTCTCGCATGCTTCAGTATTTCGCCAGGCGACCAGCAAACTAAAACAAACTTGATATCATGACGTGAGATAGTCAACAGTTTGGCTGACTGATTTTGATAATCATACGTCACGTCCAGCAGCTGTAGGCCACGGGTCTGCCTCAAGCAGCTCTGGCTAGCTGTTTTTGGGAGACGGGCGATCAATGACCTCCTTTCGACTAATAAAATTGTTTCTGTACATGATAGAATGCACGGCTTGCATGCTCTAGGCTCAGTGGGTCTTGCTGTTGGAGCATGCTATTTAGTGACTTGTTTTAGTTGTCATTCGCCGTTTTCTTTGGTTGGATAGTCACCAAAGGGGTCAGTAACTTGAAAATGTGTACTAAGGTGCTTAACAGGTTACCATTATTCTACCATGGCATATTTACATAAGGTCCTAGTATGCCTTCCTTGTTTTCTTATGTCTCTTGTAAGTTGTCGAGCCCCGAATATCACTGAAAAAAGAAAACATATTGAAAATCATGGCCAGCATCAGAGTGATTCACCCTATGCACTGCAGCCTATCCCCGTATATGTAGGTTATTTTGCATTTCTTACCACGTCCTAGGTTGCACCCGTTTCTTTATTTGAATTTGCACTTTTTGCAATTAAAAACTTTTCTCTGGTTATGAGAATGTCATCCTTCAGCAACTGGCACGGTATTGGACTCTTGGCGTGGCTATCGTTGTGCATGCGTGCTCATTGGCCAGTCTCTTCTCTGGGATTGGTTTCGGTTTCATGTGTGGTTTGTTGGGATCGTCTTAAGGACTGGTGACTGAAACTTGAAAGTGTAGTGACGGAAAATGTTAACCATTTTAACGTGAGACAGAAGGAATATGCCAAAAATGAATTGTATCCGTTACAGGATTGCTGGCAAATCGGCGCTGAATGCCCCTTCAGCGGGAATTGGACATAGGCTTATCCAGTTACCACGGCAGCACAAGTCAAACACCGTTAGCGTTTTTATTCGTTCCAGCTGGATGTCAGTTACACTTGTCGAAAATATGAACACTTCGTCACGCGACGTAACGTCTGAAGCACGAGGGCAATGTGTAGTGTAGCCTGAGCTAAAGTCAAGAGGTTCTGCTCACGTCCTCCACAGTCTATATCATTTATTCTTTTCACACCCGTTGCTAAAGGACATTTTTAGAAACAGTTGAAAATGGCTATCCTTAATTTGGGCTTCAGTGTCACGCCGAAAATCGGTTTAAATAAGTGCGTGCGACGTTATTTCAGATCCGAAGTCGCCCGGCGGCTGGCCCCAATTCGGGCCGCCGTCTAGCTCCATTAAACCCCGACCCCACGTCATTATCGGGCACGCCTGTATGTATGGCTGCCCGGTCACGCAATGCCGACGGTCTCACGCTGCTGATGCTGACGCTGAGCAACTGTGTTTTGACTGTGCTGACGACTGCCCCAGCGGTGCTGACGCCGTGTGTGACTTTGTGCCTGTCTACAGCCGACGTCCGGCCACCAGTACGTGTACGCGCACTCTGTGCCGCCGTCCCAGTCTGCCGGCCTGCAGCTGATCACCATCCCGCAGCAGCCGGTGGCGCCGGCCGCCGGAGAGTTTTACGTGTCGCAGCCGCCGCCCGTCTACCACCACCAGGAGGCGCAGGCGGCCGCCACTGCCGCCGCAGCAGCCGCCGCCGCTGCCGAGCACGACTACCAGCAGGAGGTGGGACCGCGCGCCCGGCCCGTCAGACGAGGGCTCCCGGCGCGGTAACCGCATGGTATTAGGATGGTATATCAGTGCTTTCTAACACAGACGGTGACGGTTTTTAGGTGGACGTAAAAGAGATCTCGTATTGCAACTGTCTGTGGTGTTGGGTCGCATGCTGCGAGGGAATATTATCGTTGAAACAACTTCACCTCCGACAAACGTATGAGTATTTGCCTACACATGCCTTGTGTTTTCGCAGTGTATGCCTGCCTCATTACCATTTACCGGCCAAATTATATAACATCGGTGTTTGTAGCCGGTTGGCATGGCGTCAACCTGCTGTGTGCCCCGCTTCCGCATGCTTATTAATCCGCTTCCTTCCCCCGCAAAAAGCCAGCACGGAGACTCATTAGCCATATACTCACAGTATGGAGACGGCTAACCACGCTCACAGCACGGATGTGGATTAACCCCGCTCACAGCACGGATACGGTTTAACCCCGCTCACAGCACGGATACGGAACAACCCTGCTCACAGCACGGATGTGGATTAACCCTGCTCAAGGCTGGCTTGGTGACGGACTAACCCTAATAACAGCACGGAGAAGGGCTAACCCCAACGTGGAGATGGCGGCCTGTCCCATATCGTTTGCTCTAACCCAGTGGACTTTCTACTAACGCCTTGGAACGTGGTACGCTCTGTACACCCGCACGCACGGAAGACGGCACCTTCAAAGGCTCTGACGCTGTCGGCTGGTGGAGGGAAGATTTACATCTGATCAGTCGTTTGCTTTCATAAAGGCATAGCGTCAACATGTCAATTTTCAATCAGACTTTGTTTTGCTGTCGGTGAACTGTGATAAAAGTCGCGTGGCTCTGAGTTGTCAGCGCTCCGACTGTGAGTGACAGCGGTCGGTTGTCGGTAGGTGAAGGACGGCTCGAGTGACTGGTCCGAGACCGGCTTGGAGCGGCTGTCGGCGCTGTGCCTGGACGAGGCGGCCGCCGACGGTCTGCACGACCGCCCGCCGGACGCGGCCGACAGTGCCTGTGCCGAGGACAATAGCTGCAGTGAGAGCGGCGACGGCTCTGCGCGCGCCACACCCGCCGGCCGGGAGCGCTCGCCGTCGCCGCTGCCGCTCACACCGCCCTCGTCATCCGTGTCGCCGTGCGCCGACTCTGTGTCGTCCACCACCAAGAGCTCGAGTCCGCAGCCGCCGCTGGGCGAGAGCGGCTTCGCGTCGCACGTGAGCAGCTCGGGCACCGAGCAGGACAGCTGCGACGGCGAGCCCTCCCCGGCCAAGTCGCCCTCCAAGCCGCCCAAGTACACCATCCTGGCGCCGCAGATGAGCCGCATGTACATGACGCCGAACGCGGTGCCGCACTATCACATCTGGACGCCGTATTACACTCTGCAGACGTCGGCCGGCGCGATACAGGCGCCCGCCGGCGGCAAGGGCTGCCCGCGGCACGGCTACGGCGCGCCGCTGCCGCCGCCGTCCGTGCCGCCGCCGCCGCTGTCGCCGGCCGGCGCGCCGCCCCCGTGCTGGCTGCACTCTGCCCCGCCGCCGCCCCTCTCCGTCCACTCGTCCTTTCCCTGTCCCGTCCCGCCGCCCAGTAACGAACCCTTCTCTCCGTCCTCCGGCCAGATGCAGCGCGCCCGCTACGCCAGCCCCATCAAGCCGGCGCTGAGCCGCGGTGGCTACATCTGCGGCCCGCGCGCCGCCGGCGTGCCCGGCCGCTGCGGCGCCGGCGGCCTCAAGCAGCCGGACTTGGGCGGCGCCGGCGACGCGCCGCCGCCTCGCTCGGAGCAGACGGGCGGTCCGATGACGCCGCCGCCGACTCCGGGCCGCGCCGACCAGCCAGCCAAGGTGGAGTCGGCCGCCGCCCGCCTGCAGACCATGACCCTGTGAGCGCGGCCCGCGGGCGGAGCCGGCGCGACGCTCCGGCCGGCGCTGTAAACTAGCTGCGGACGAATCTCCTGCGCTGTGCAATGAAACTGGACGGCGGGTGGCCTGGTAGCACAAGGCTCACTGGCGCTCTGTCTCTCTGACGCGTCTCTCTCCGCTACGTCCCTGCCGAACTGTTTCTGTAACAGTGCGCGCGGTTGTTGTGAATACGGTAGATTAGATTTGCTCAGAGTGCTGATTGTAATTAAGTGCCAACCATCCCAGGTGCCTTAGGAAGTGACCTTGTTAATGATAATAGAGGCCCTTATTTATTGGTAAACTGGTGTAGGGTTAAGTAGTTGTAAGGAGCCTTCGGGCTGATTGTTCTGGGTGGCAGTCGAGAGCCCTCGAACTCTGTAACCTGTTGATCTGGCCGAAGCTGTGCTTTCCATTGCTGTTTGTACCGCCCTTTGTGTGATTCTTTTCTGCCTCGACTCGTCATCCAAAACAGACTGATTCGGAACTCTGTAACCGCTGCGGCCGGCCTGTCTTCCATCGTGAATGGCGTCCTGGTGTCGCCCTCATCGTGGCCCGTTTGGTGGCCCGTTTTTATATACCTGCAGGCAGCCGTCCTCTTCCATCACCCTCAAACGCTCGCCGGGCTTTGTATCCACGTTTAATCGAGAACTCCCATTTTTTGTTTCGCGCCGGTATGTATGTGCGTGTGTGCTGATCACTAGGTTAAGCATTGAACCCCAGTGTATTGTACAGTGATTGAGCGCCCGCTGACTTACGTGTCGTGTTGCCGATGCGCTCATCTCACCAGCTCGCTTTCATCAGTATTCTACGCTCGCTCTCTATCTCACATCTCCCTTATTGATATTGCTGTATCGTCTCGGCACCAACCAAATCATCTGTGATAACGCTGTTGGGGTTCCAAATATTTATTAAGTATTTATTGTTATGCCGCCTGTGCAATATGCAGCTGAAAGGAGTTGCCAGTAATACGGTTGTTGGTGGCACTCATGCACAGACATGGCATATTTCATATAGAGTATAGTTTTTTATGCGGACGGTGCCGAGCAAAGCTCTTGCGTTAGGCGGTATTCTGAAGGCTCTGAATTTGCACTATAAAACTAGGATGCAGCTGCGGGCTGTAATTTTAAGGTCGGGCTGTCTGTCGGTGTTGAGGCGCTGTGTAGGTTGTGAGAGGGGCCCGGACTGCCGGTCGGCTGGGAGGGGCGGCGCTCGCTCGCCACCGGTTGTGGTGTCAGGGATCGGGGAGGGCCCGCGCTCGGCCCGCCGTCTGTACATACGGGGCGGCGCAGGGGTTCGGGAAGGAGGGCTACTGCTACTGTTCAGGGCAGGCCATGTGGCCGCGCTTTATAAGTCGGCCGGCCGCCGGCGACCTACTGCCCCGCTGCGGCCGGCCGCGGGCCGCGTCCCAGCGCCCTCCCACTCTCCACATGGGCTGCCCTGCCGTGTAAATAAATAGCCTGATTTTAAAGTGCAAATGTCATTTTAGTGCAAAGTGTCACATACTATTGTGTGCTCATTTTCGGTCAGTATCCGCCTAGGGATTGGCGACGCTATCCGCTGCCGGCCTGACGCGCCCGCCGGTTGTATCCGCTCGCGCTCGCTGTCTGTCCGACTGCTGGGCTCCGTCCCGGGCGGCCCTCGGCTGGCCCACTTCCCTGCAGTCGGAGGCGCTCTGCCCTGGGAGCCAGTAGCCAATGTTTCGGGTGGGGGTGGTGTGCGCGAGGCGCGGGGTGGACGCCGCAGACCGCCCCGGCCCACTCGCCGCGCCGTGGGCTCTTCAATGGTAAATCCTTTGTCAGAGCCTGTAGTCTTTGGAAGAAATAAATCTGTGAAATACACACGAGTTTTCAGCTGACTGACCGAGTGTTGACAACTGACATCCACATTGTAATAGTTAGAGGATATCGCCAGCTAGAAAGCAACTGGTCAACCTACGCTTTTATTTTCTATTTGCAAGCAGCGGCACTGATATACTGATCATCGAATTCGGCGAAACACTTGTATGTCTCCTGATAGGAGACTAAAAGAAACGCCAGGGGAAGGCTCATTGCTGCGAATCGGTGGCGTAGGGTCGCTGATCCACAATGTCTGGATCGGTTTGGCTGGAATTTGTCCTATCGTTGGTTGAGCGCCCTCCATGTTTTTATTTCCATGTTCAAATATGCGGAATCAAGATTACGTTGCGGGATGCTAGTGCTCGTGCGATGTGCAGGGTTCCATGGCGACTACGAATGCGAAGTTTGTATGCCGTTGGCGGCCGGATATGGGATGACCTAACCCATGACCTAACTTAGCCCGCACCAGTCAGTAATGAGTTTCAATCTCACTTAGAGCTACATAGGTGCCTAGCCGACTACTGCGCTGGTCCATAAAACATTCAACACATGCCATGTTTTATTGAATATCTACCTTCACACAAAAAGTGCGTAATAAACCCCTAATACATGCGTATGATTATGAAGAAAAGTGGCGTCAGAAGATACTAAAATGTCTTCGCTAATCGTCGATAACTTAAGGATCATTCAAATCTTATTTTAATAAATAATTAAAATGGTTCGAGTCCGGAAAAGTACACCGTGCCACAGAAGACAATCAGCTATATAACTAATCTAGATAATACATTAATGAGTAGACAAAAACATTGCACATAAATTACCCCACACTGGGTACATCGTGCGCGCCGCACAACGGAAACTGACCGAACAGGGTGTGCTAAGCTCGATCCATCGGGTGATCTCTCAAAGCTGAGTGGTTTTGGGCGGTGAGGCCGGGAGTGGCTCGGTACAGCTCACAGTACAGCGGCGGTGACGCCGGCAGGTATGAGCTGTGGCCTAGCAGTGACGCCGGGCCTGCCGGACTGTTCGACACACAGCTGCCCGGCTGCTGACGCTGCTCCGTACATATACAGCAGCTGCTCGCGGCTGCTCTCCGAACCAGATGTAACACTCAGTGACTACATGTAAAGGTGTAGAGTACCTCAGGGTATGCACTGGCGCTGCGGCCGGCCGGGTGCGCGCAGACACCGTGCCGGCCCTCATCCAATCCCTAGCCAGACTCCATCGCCGCGCGTCCCTCCTATAGCTATGTCTTGATCCCGGCGGGCGGGCCACGCCCACCCGTGTAATTATAATATAATCAAACACACAGGACTAAGCAACGATAACAGCTCCCTGACTGCACTCCACTGATCCCATTGACTAATATCCACTGATCTTGCTGACTTATCGCAACCGATCCCATTCACTTGGGCTATCGCCACTTATCATGTTGGCCACTCTAAAGGTCGCTGTTGAATTTTACCGGATAACCGGCGGAGCAAAGAGGTCAGGTCCTGCCTTCCTCAGCGCGGTCACTGGGTGCCGGCCGCCGGAGCCCGCTTGTCCGCCTCTGCGGGAGCCGGCTTGTCCGCCTCGGCGGGCTCCTCAGTGGTGTACAGACTGTCCACGAAACACCAGGCCAGCTCGGAGACCAGCGAGCGGTCGGGCACGCTGGCCGCCATGCCGTACAGCGCCACGTCTCCGGAGTTGGCGTTGTCGGCCGGCGCGCGCAGCATCTCGGCCGTCAGCTCGCGCATGTCCTTCACCAGCCTCTCGCGCACGCCGGCGGCCGTCTGGCAGTAGGTGACCGCGATGTGGAAGCAGGGCGGGTTCTGGAGCGCGTTGAAGTTCCAGCCGCGCTGCGCCATGGCGTCCGAGAGTCGGTAGATGTTGAACTGGTCCGAGGCGAAGGCTACCACAGAGACGTCCGGGCTGCCCTGGATCCGCAGGCCAGGAATCTGGCGACACTCCGCCTCGATGTAGCGCGCGGTCTCGATAATGCGGCGCGTCGTCTCCACGTAGCCCTGGCGTCCGTAGTACATCAGAGCCGCCCAGCAGGCAGCCAGCACCGCTCCGGCCCTGCTGCCGGCCATCGAGGGACTGGCGTAGATGCCTCCCGGCCAGTCGGGCTGCACGAAGTACTGGAAGTGACGCATGTGCTGCGAGGAGTACAGTATGACCGAGGTGCCCTTCGGAGCGAAGCCATACTTGTGCGTGTCTGCCGAGATACTGGTCACGCCCGGCACGCTGAAGTCGAACGGCACCACAGGGAAGCCGGCCTCCTTCATGAACGGCACCAGGAAGCCGCCCAGGCACGAGTCGACGTGCACGGGAATGCCGTACTTGACTCCCAGTGCGCCGACCTCCTCAATGGGGTCGATGTTGCCATGCGGGAATGCCGGTGCCGAACACACCAGCATCACCGTGTTGCTGTTGATGTAGCTTCTCATCTTGGACACGTTCACGCGGCTGGTCTCTGGGTCGACCGGAATGTGGATCAGCTTCATGCGGAGTAGCTGGGCGCCTTTGTCGAAGGCGGCGTGAGCCGTGAACGGAACGAGCACTTCTGGCCGCGTTATGCCGCGCTCTTCCCTGGCCATGTCTCGGCACGACTTCATGGCCATGATGATGCTCTCCGTGCCTCCGGAGGTCACCGTGCCGCACGAGTCGGGCCCGCCCGAGAAGAGCTGGCAGCACATGCGAATTATTTCCGCCTCCATCTTGCGGACGCCCGGAAACACGTCCGGATGCAGCGGGTTGGACCACGCCGCCAGCCCGTACACCTGGGTCATCAGCTCGGTCAGGTCGGCCGACCCGTTGTACACCGTTCCCGACAGGCAGCCTTCCTTGTAGGAGAACTTGCCGAGGGCGCAGTAGCGACGCGCCTCCGACAGCACTTGTTCGGCGCTAATGCCACGATCCGGCAGACGGCGCAAGAACGGCATCCCCGCGTTCATGCGCACTATTTCGGCGTTCATGTTGTCCTGCATGTGACGCGTCTCCTTCTCGATCTTCCTCCGAACGGCGGGGATCGTCCTCACCAGCCGGAACAGTCGCTTCTTGAAGCGGGATGAGATGTCTTCGTCGGAGAAGTGCACCTGAGCCCAGATCCAGGTGATCGCCAGCGTGGCCCCGGCCGCGCCGGCGGCCACCTGCCACGGCTCTCGGTCGGCCAGCAGCTCGTTCAGCCGGCACCGCGCCAGGTCGCAGGTGGCGCGGACCGCCTCCATGGTCATCTCACTGACGGATGAGTCAGCACAGCGCCGCTGTAGCCCGCTGTCCAGCGGAGGTCGGCCGTCTTCCCGCCGCCCGACTGCACCACTGTCCGAGCAGTTACCAGATTGAGGGCGACGCCCGCCGATCCCAAGGCCAGACAACACTTATCGGAGCGGAGCCTCTGTCGAAGCCAGACTTCCCAATGACAGTGGGCGTTGTCGAGTGGCCACGGTCACCGTATCAGTTTCGCCGATAGAACTTGTCACGGAGCGCACTGAACCCGAGTCGGCCGCCGCTATCTTAGGCCGAAAAACCGGCAAGATACTGCGGGCAAGGCCGTGTATAGATGGCTGATGGACGCGACACCTGGGGACAGGAGCACATGAACGTTAGCTAGCATTCAGTGCAACGAGGAGTGCCGGATTCTTGGCTGCACTGCCTGATCAGTATCAATTCATGTCCCACACGTTTTGATGGCTGAACTCTGAACCATTGCTCTATAAGCATGTTTCTGATGAGCCTTGAAAGTCCTTAGCAACTGAAATGAAAGGATATTCAGCTATCCCAATGTTTCAAAATTCTACTAGGTACTAAATAATGTTTGGAGTTCCTTCCCATGTTTCCCCCTTCTGAGCTCACTCCTACTTGAGCTGCATCATTGAATCGAAACTACTTTTTCAGGTAATTTGCACTTTCTCCTTCTTCAACCGTCTTCGGTCAATTCAATACGTGATTGGTACACTGGCGGATCCGGGGGCCTTTTGGGGCAAATTCCCCCCCCCCCAATCCCAGCGCCTGAAATCGACGAAACTTTGCGGTTTTTCGAGAATATTTAGAACGAAAATTAACCCGGCGGCCGCTGGGCCTCCGCGCCACCCGCCGGCCGCTGGGGGGGGGGCATATAGTTGCCCCCCCCCCTTTACTTCCGCGACGATATCGTCGCAACGCGAAGAGATAGAGAAGCGAAACTTTGCACACGTCTTTCTGAATACCTAGCCGAGGTTGTGTCCAAATTTGGTGTCGATCCCATTTGAAATGATGTCACAGTAACGTCATAAGCCAAATTATAGATTTGCGACTCTCAGTTTCCTCACGATACATCAGATGTATGGGACCGAATATAAAGAGCCGATTATTGGTCAGGAACTAGATGGAAGTGTGCTTAGATGTTTTAGGATGACAGCAGGTGCTGTCTAGTTCATTTACAGTTGAGTTTCATGCTCAGCGTCATCAGAAACGGTCCATATCGGAAAACGACAAAACTTTATGACGTCACTGTGACGTCATCTTTGGTGCTACAACCACCAAACTTTCTCCAAACATTGCCTAGGTATTCATTTGAAGCTATGCCAAGTTTCACGTTCGTAGCTCATCAGGTTTCGGAGATATTCCACAAAACGTAAAGGGGGGGGCAACTTTATGCCCCCCAGCGGCTCGTGGGTTAAACAACTTTTATTATGAATAGTTTGTTTTAACCCGCGCCCAGCTGGGGGTCCTAGATTTCTACGCCCTGCTGGGGGGGGGGGGTGTTTGAACACCACCACCACCCTTCTAACTCGGCTCCTGGGCCACGTAGCGATACGCGGAAGGCGGCGTTCGAAAGAGCGTCAAAAATAAGGAAGAAATCACTCCGGTCCCTTTTTTGGTCAGGTCAAAGGTCAGATCACCACTCACCAGAGGTCATTGAAGGCCAAAATTCGCCGATTTGTAGGTCAGACGTCGACAATTTTCAACAAATCGACGCGCAGCTCGGAAACTGATAAAGCTACAGCGCCGCGGAAAAACTAAGTTGTTAGTCCTATTAACGCCCTTTCTGAACAATCCTCTCGGATTTGACCTACCGTCAACGGTTTTGCCTGCAGAGTGCAGGGGACAAAAACTGTCAAAGATATTTCTGATTTGATATCAATACTACCCTGTCATAACTCATATTCTAATAACAGTCGGACCAAGAAGCAAATTATGGGTTCTCACTTCTCAGCTTTCTTGGTTTGCTATATCATTCACCTTGCACACACCAGGTTCAAGTAAGTTCATAAAGAGTCTGATTAAGCATTCACTTTTCATAGTTTTCAAGCATAAATTTTGCAGTTTCTTACATTATTTGACATCCTGAATCCAAATATGATACCTACATGTGGCGCAAATGCAAAAAAAAATCAAACCTGACCTAACCTTACCTTCAACCTACCAGCCTACAGCCCTACAACCTACCAACCTAAAATGTGCAAACCTACAACCTAACACAACACAACCTACAGCCCACAGCCTAAAACCTACAATTAATGCTGTTGCATATTTGTATCAATGGCGCCACAATCGTAGATCGGACCCATCGGACCTTTTCTGAACAAATACCAATTGCCAGAGGCACTATATCCAGAGATGCTTTCTAATCAAATCAAATCAAATCAAACCAAACCAAACCCAACCAAACCTGAATTAACCTTACCTACAACCTAAAATCTACAACCTAAAACCTACCACCTAAAACCTATAACCGCCTAGCCTACAACACGTTCTCTCCTTGGTTGCAAAAAAGTGTGATGCCTGCTTTACTGCTAAGTGCTACTGTTTTGGGAAGTGACAAGTGACAAGTGGACTTCTGATGAATCAATCATACTTAATTTTGGTATGTTTTTGTAGGCATAAAAACCACTTGTATATTACCCATCAATTAGATGCTCCTTCAATCAGATTGAGATAAGTTACCAATCTAGTTGCACCTGCATTTCTATATCATTAAGTCCTACAAGTCATCTAGTTCTTTTATTATTCTGTGAAGACAGTTTTGTGAACCATTTTCAGTTCCAGCAACTTTTTAACCCCAAATTTCTTAGTCCTAATACCTGGCCCAGACTGAGACATGGGACAAGGTCACTGATTGCTCAGCTGCTCAAATAAGGTTTTCATTGCACTTGAGCATCATGATAATCACCATATAGTCAATGCTCATTATAATGATAACATAATTACGAGCGAGCGAGCGCAGCGAGCGAGCGAGTTCATACTGAATTAAGGGAAAATCCTGAGTATCCGGCCATGGGGACGCTTTTCAAAAGCTAATATCTTAGGAACGGGACATCCGATTGACAAGCGGTCTTCTTTACTGAATGTCACTTGGACGTAAAAGTTATGTGGTGTGATGGCCACCATGCGTCCTTGCCAACCACCGCACGTGGTGCGTGGTATAGTTGGACATTTTTTAAGAACCCCAAAAATTGCAACCTCAATAACGGTTTAACGGTTGGGCCGACTGAATTGAAACTCGGTACACAGTTAGGTCTCCATCAGATAATTCATCTGCATGTGTTACGGTTGGGGTGCTACTGCACATGCGCACGTGCAGGGGGCGTTTCCAGATCTTGAGAACGGCTGGGCCGATTGCGCTCAAATTTGGTACATGGTTGGGGACCGGTTAGTAGGGTGCCGTGCAAAAGTAATTTTTGGACCCCGTTTGCACATGCGCACGTGCAGAATGCCGCTTCCAGATCTCAGGAACGGCTGGGCCGATTGCGTTCAAAATTTGGCACACCGCTAGCGACCGGTTAGAAGGGTGCTTTGCACAAGCCCGTTAGAAGTACCTTCTCGCCCTTGTGCACGTGCAGGGCTGAGGGCTTACTATCTCGCTTGCTCGTTCTTCACCCAAAAGGCGTTTTACTGGTAATACGATATTCAAAAACAAGGCAATGGGTACTGACTACTGTGAGATCTATTCTAAATCAACTGCTGATAAATGTCTCACTCATCATGATGGCACTCAAGTTTTCTGCAAATCTGCATTGAAATTTGATGATTAACATTTCAATTAATCTGGTTCCCTGATTATTTCAACTTATAATGGCCCAGCGCTGTATGTTATGTAACCTCCTATACGGCAAGTACCTTATATCTAGAGTTTCTTATAGGTATCTTCCTCCTTTATATACCCAATATATACCTCTCTTCATCGGTAGGTAACAAACTGAAGCCTTCTAAATTGTAACTAACAAAAAAAGATGGGATATGCACTAATCGTGCAAGAATCAGAATCAGAACATTCACGGATATCGAAGAACATTGCAAAGAAAAAAGAAGCACGTGCATCAAGTGCTATGATATTCAGATTCACTTTCAAATGCACATTCAAAAAAACTCACCAAATGCAAAGTTTTGGCTACCATCGTGTAGCCAGGAAAGCCCTGATTCTGAAAATATATATCCCAATACATGACACTCAATAGTTTACGAGATATGCCTGTTTTCCTTTTGAAGGTCATTTAAGGTCATATAGTGGCAGGTCATCAAAAAAAAACTCACCAATATACACCAAAATTACAGGATATATAGTACAAAGCAGCCTCCATCGAATGGTGGTAGTCGCTATTCGTGACACTTCTTCGTTTTTGGTACAGGGGCCATTTTTATTTTCAAATGCCTATCTCGCTAATGTTAACACTGCCTGACTTAAAGGCCCATAACTCCCAAAGTACATCACCGTTCTCTTTCATCTTTTAGCGACACGTTTGCAAGGCCCTGAGGCAGTTTTGGTCAAGTGCCTACCCATGACGCCTTCTCAAATCGTTTGTACGTGGGTTTGAAAATTTGATATTTTTGGTCATACGGCCAAAGTCAACAAAAAAGAACTCACCAATATGCACAAAAATTACAGGATATATAGTCCAAAGTGACCTCCATCGAATCGTGGTAGTCTCTATTCATGACACTTCTGCGTTGTTGGTACAGCGGCCACATTGATATTCAAATGCCTATCTCGCTAATGGTAACACTGCCTGACTTAAAGGCCAATAACTCTCAAAGTACATCACCGTTCTCTTTCATCTTTTAATGACACGTTTGCAAGGCCCTAAGGCAGTTTCTGGTCAAGTGCCTACCCATGACGCCTTCTCAAATCGTTTGTACGCGGGTTTGAAAATTTGATTTTTTTGGTCATACGGCCAAAGTCAACAAAAAAGAACTCACCAATATGCACGAAAATTACGGCATATATAGTCCAAAGTGACCTCCATCGAATGGTGGGAAACTCTATTCATGACACTCCTGCGTTTTTGGTACAGCGGCCACATTGATATTCAAACCCAGTAAACATGACGACGTCGGCCCGACGTCGGGCCGAGGCTCGGCCCGACGTCGGCCCAACGTCGGTTCAACCTCGTCCCGACATTGGCTGGACGTCGGATATGCCCGCATGTTCCGACGTCCAGCCGAAGTCCAGCCGACGTCGAGCCGACGTCGGGCCGAGATCGTTTGCCGAGGTTGACGAGATCGTTTGTCGTTGGACCGACGGGGCCGACGTCGGCATGTTTATTGGGACAACGCGCCAAAAATATCAGCCGGCGGCGGGATTCGAGCCCCCCAGTCGCCGACGTCGGCATGGGACAACACGCCAAAAGCACCAGCCGGCGATGGGATTCGAACCCCGTGTAATTCGAACGCGAGGTCAGTGCGCTAACCACTACACCACGCAGCCAGCTAGCGAATTAGGTTTGTTTTGTTGGGTTATGCCCTTTCGGTCTGACAAGACCATTTCAAAGCCGGAAAGATCATAGGATGGAGACATTGGTCTTCTTGGCGAGCACCCTGGGTCCAGTTCATATAGAGTCCCTGGTCCCATTGCTGTTACGTGCCACTTATTGGAAAGGGCGACCCCACAATGGGTTCATATAGCCACTCTTCACACACCTGCACCAACGTTTCCCAAAGTGTCCCTTTGATAAGTGGCACTTTGACAAAGTGACACTTGCCGACTGGCCTTTCTATATGAACTGGGCCCGGCCCTGGTGAGTTGCCGGGGCTGAGCCTGACCAAAGGATAGGCCGAGCAGCCCCCAAGCACTCACCCCACCCGGCTACGGGCGAGCTCGGCTTACGGGCCATCCCAAATGGGATAAAGTTTCCCGTCCAGTCCGGATCACGGGGTTGCGGCGTGGAGGAAGATTTGAGTTTCCTGAGGATATTTTGAATACAGAAGCTCTTTATGAAACATGAAACATGTATTCTATGTTATTTTAACGGTCAAAACAGCGGCCGATGTCGGTCCGACGTCGGCCCGACGTCGGCTGGACCTCAGCAATTGATCTCGGTCCGACGTCGGCCCGACGTCGGCTGGACCTCGGCTGGACGTCGGAACATGCGGGCATATACGACATCCAGCCGACGTCGTGCCGAGGTTGGACCGACGTCGGGCCGACGTCGGCATGCTGATGCCGAGTTGCCGACGTCACCCCGACGTCGGCCGACGTCGGGCCGACGTCGGCATGTTTACTGGGAATGCCTATCTCGCTAATGTTGTCAACAAAAAAGAACTCACCAATATGCACAAAAATTACGGCATATATAGTCCAAAGTGACCTCCATCGAATGGTGGTAGTCGCTATTCATGACACTTCTGCGTTTTTGGTACAGCGGCCACATTGATATTCAAATGCCTATCTCGCTAATGTTAACGCTGACTGACTTGGATGGGTATAACTCCAAAAGCACATCTCCGATCTTGTTAAACTTTTCGTGGCACGTTAGCAAGGCCCTGGGGCAGTTTTTGGTCAAGTGCCTAGCCATGACGCCTTCTCAAATCGTTTTTACGTGGGTTTGAAAATTTGATTTTTTTTTTGGTCATACGGCCAAAGTCAACAAAAAAGAACTCACCAATATGCACAAAAATTACGACATATATAGCCCAAAGTGACCTCCATCGAATGGTGGTAGTCGCTATTCATGACACTTCTGCGTTTTTGGTACAGCGGCCACATTGATATTCAAATGCCTATCTCGCTAATGTTAACACTGCCTGACTTAAAGGCCAACAACTCCCAAAGTACATCACCGTTCTCTTTCATCTTTTGATGACACGTTTGCAAGGCCCTAAGGCAGTTTTGGTCAAGTGCCTACCCATGACACCTTCTCAAATCGTTTGTACGCGGGTTTGAAAATTTGATATTTTTGGTCATACGGCCAAAGTCAACAAAAAAGAACTCACCAATATGCACAAAAATTACAGGATATATAGTCCAAAGTGGCCTCCATCGAATGGTGGTAGTCTCTAATCATGACACTTCTGCGTTTTCGGTACAGCGGCCACATTGGTATTCAAATGCCTATCTCGCTAATGTTAACACTGCCTGACTTAAAGGCGAATAACTCACAAAGTACATCACCGTTCTCTTTCATCTTTTAATGACACGTTTGCAAGGCCCTAAGGCAGTTTTTGGTCAAGTGCCTTCCCATGAAGCCTTCTCAAGTCGTTTGTACGCGGGTTTGAAAATTTGATTTTTTTTTGGTCATACGGCCAAAGTCAACAAAAAAGAACTCACCAATATGCACAAAAATTACGACATACAGGGTGGGGCAGCATAATCGGGAATAAATATCAAACGGGATTATTTGGTCATGAATTTAAAAATATAGCTCCAAGCACTATTTTAACAACATCCCATCAATCGGTCACCTTTTACCTATCCCTCATCCTATTTGACCGCCCTTCGCGTCGATGACCTTCTCAAGGCGGGTCCAAAAGCACGCGCATGCACGTGCAGCCTCCTGCTTGTCCATGATCGCCCATCAGCTTCGTACCTTGCACTGAAGACCGTTTTTACTGATGATAAGTTGTTCATTAAACTTCTACCAAAAAACGCTCCATATAAAGAATTTGGTCGGATTTAAATCGGCGGAGTTGAAGGACCAGAAGTTTTTGGTTCATCTCAGGTGGAGGTGCCCTACACAATAACATGTCGTCCTCACTGCAGTACCAGCACGGACAGAGTCCTCGTAAGACGTGATCTGGACCGTCAGTGATCCTCTCTTCCGACGACTCCACGTGAGTCTGCCAGAGTGTGGATGTATTTACCAGAGGTGCTCGTTTTATCCGGGCTCGATGAAGTAGGGTGCACCACGTGCACCTCCCTTGAAGACCACCCATAGGTCCATCACCTCAACAGGATGTTTACTTTGCATGACCGCTGCAATATTCTCGATACAATCCCCTATATGGCATGCCATTCTTTTTTATCGTATTCCAGTCGGTGATAAGATTTTTGGTCGCTGCAGTTTTGAACATCGTTTCTTTTTAATATGCTCAAGAGCTTCTTCCTTATATTCAAGTGAGTCATCTTGTATGTCCTCTGCTAAGAGTTATTTTACGACGATTACGTTAACTTTTTGTCCTAAGTATCCCCACACAATCCTTATCGTCCGTGATAACACGTTGACCTGTCCAGCAACCTTTACGTGGAATGGCATTGTTTTAAACAAAATGTTCTTGTTTTACTCGTTTAACATTAGTGTCTATGGGCGCGCGCAAAGCACTTGGAGCACCGTCGAACTATTTTGCTGCTCTTTTCCAGGAAGTTGCATGCTCATGGATGTAGTCATGTCAGATGATGCACAACTTTTGGGCGTTTCATTGCCATGATATAATTTATCAAAATAATGCCATGCCTACTCATCATGACCAGAGCCCAAAAAGCATTCCCGATTATGCTGCCCCACCCTGTATATAGCCCAAAGTGACCTCCATCGAATGGTGGTAGTCGCTATTCATGACACTTCTGCGTTTTTGGTACAGCGGCCACATTGATATTCAAATGCCTATCTAGCTAATGTTAACACTGCCTGACTTAAAGGCCAACAACTCCCAAAGTACATCACCGTTCTCTTTCATCTTTTGATGACACGTTTGCAAGGCCCTAAGGCAGTTTTTGGTCAAGTGCCTACCCATGACGCTCTCTCAAATCGTTTGTACGCGGGTTTGAAAATTTGATATTTTTGGTCGTACGGCCAAAGTCAACCAAAAAGAACTCACCAATATGCACAAAAATTACGGCATATATAGTCCAAAGTGACCTCCATCAAATGGTGGTAGTCCCTATTCATGACACTTCTGCGTTTTTGGCCGTTGACATTGACCGTTCAGCACTGCAAAAAATGTCGAGTTTTCAATCAAGCGTACAAAAGTTTTGAGAAGGCGTCATGGGTAGGCACTTGACCAAAATCTGCCCCAGGGCCTTGCTAACGTGCCACTAAAAGTTTAACAAGATCGGAGATGTGCTTTTGGAGATATACCCATCCAAGTC